GGAAGGGGTGATTGAACCATCCAACAGCCCATGGTCTTCTCCAGTGGTGTTAGTTAAGAAAAATGATGGATCAACTCGATTTTGCGTCGATTTTCGTCAGCTGAACAACGTGACGAAGAAGGACAGCTACCCTCTGCCTAGGATAGATGACACCCTGAATACATTGGCTGGATCCCAAATATTTTCGACTTGGATTTGAAAAGCGGATACTGGCAGGTTGAAATGGCACCAGAAGATAGAGAATAGACGGCGTTTACCGTGGGTGCTGGACTGTGGCAGTTTACTGTCATGCCGTTTGGACTATGTAATGCCCTGCAACTTTTGAAAGGCTCATGGAAATGGTTTTGAAGGGACTATCCTGGAAGACTTGCTTGGTGTAGGTACCTTGACGATATTATTGTGGTTGGGAAATCATTTGAGGACCATATGAAGAACCTGAAGGAAGTTTTTCAGCGCTTAAGAAATTCCGGCCTGAAGCTTAGCCCAAATTTTTCTTAAGAAATGTCACTTGTTCCAGAGGGAAGTGCAGTATCTGGGCCATGTCGTTTCAAGTCAAGGAGTTGCAGTGGATAAACAGAAGGTAAAGACGGTGCGGGAATGGCCAATACAGACAAACAAACATGACTTAAGAGGCTTTCTTGGATTATGCGCCTACTACCGTCGGTACGTACCAGGATTCGCAAAAGTTGCTAAGCCTTTGACACGTTTAACAGAGGGGGAAAGACGATTCCAATGGAACGACGAATGCCAAGAAGCCTTTAAAAACCTGAAAAACGCGTTGACCAGCTCACCAGTCCTGAGTTATCCTCTTCCGGATGGTGCATTTATTTTGGACACGGACGCCAGCAATGTAGGACTGGGAGCTGTTTTGTCGCAGATTCAAGAGAAAAGAGAAAGTTATTGGATACTTCAGTAAAACTTTATCCAAACCAGAACGTAATTACTGCGTTACTCGACGAGAATTGTTGGCAGTGGTAAAATCAGTCGAACACTTTTACAAGTACCTGTATGGAAGAAAATTCTTGCTGAGAACGGATCATGCTGCCCTTAAATGGCTTTTGCAATTCAACAATCCTGAAGGACAGGTAGCAAGATGGATTGAGTGACTACAGGAGTTCAACTTTGATACAGAACATCGGGCTGGGACCATCCATAGATATGCTGACGCCTTGTCAAGAAGACCGTGCCCGGAAGACTGTTAACATTACCTCAGGACCGAAGAAAAGGATGTGTTTGTTCGCAGGACTACAATTGTGGATGATCATTGGCAATCCGCTGAGGTTCAACAAGACCAGGAAAGGGACCCGGATTTAAAGCTTATCATCGATTGGAAGAAAAACGACCGTAAACCAACGTGGCAAGAAGTCGCCCAATATTCGCCTAATGTGAAATCGTACTGGGCCCAATGGAATTCCATCATCTTTAGTGTCGGGCTTCTAAAGCGCGTTCTGGAGATGCCAGAAGGGAGGAAAGACCGGAAGCAGATAATAATCCCCAGAAACAGGATAACAGAAGTGCTGCAGGAAATCCATGATGGAACTACTGGAGGACATCTTGGGGTGACCAGGACGCTCGAAAGACTTAGGGAACGGTTTTATTGGGTCAACAGCCAACGAGATGTGATGTGAGAATGTTCCAGAAGACGTAGGCGCTGAATATATAAGGAACGACGCATCATGGAGAGTTAGTTGAGCTTTGGTACTCCCGACGACATAAATAAAATATAAGTCCAAATAAATAAACTCTTGAATAGTATACTATAGTGATTAAGTTATAGAATAAATAGTTTAGTTCGTTAATAAACCAGTGCGTGTTTTAATTCACACTACGAACAGTTAAAAACGTTACAGTAATAATGTACAAGCACAGTAGGTATATGAAACTGAACGATTTAACACTGCACTGAACTATAAAAAAAACATGAATATTTTTATTTATATTTTTTATGATTTTTACTGTGGTATTTTTGTGTTAATATAATAGAATATTAAAATAAAAATGATGTTTTATAATTATTTGAATTAATTTTACATGAATTCACAACACAATAATGTATTTTACGCTTGCATTTTTATCACTACTTTCCATTTTAACGCAAGGCAAAGACTGAACAGAAATAAGAAACTATAAACACGCATAGATCTAATTAATAAGCTTTGTTTACTATAGCATTCCCCGCCCAGTCTTTTACAACGGCTGATAAGCTAGCCGCACAGATCTCGGGACTGACTCTGCTGTCTTCCATATACTGTGGTACAAGCTCAACTTTGTGGGCCTCATTTTCTACAAAAATTCGCGTATTATCCCCGCCTTGCGGGGGTGCCGGTGGCAGAAACCGACAAATATATTTCAGAATTGTCAAATGTATTTCAGAAAGCGTTAAATTTTTTTCAGAATAGTCAAATGTATTTCATAATGCGTACTATGTATTTCAGAATAATCAAATGTATTTCAGAAAGCATCAAATGTATTTCAGAAAGCGCCCAATGTATTTCAGAAAGCGTCAAATGTATTTCAGAACGGGATAAATATATTTCAGAAAGCGACAAATGTATTTTAGAAAGCGTGAAATGTATTTCAGAACGCGTTTTCCAATTGTATTTCGGAAAGCCTTAAATGTATTTCAGAATAGTCAAATGTAATTCATAAAGCGTTAAATAGATTTCATAATAGTCAAATGTATTTCGGAATTCGTTAAATGTATTTTAGAATAGTCAAATGTATTTCAAAAAGCATCAAATGTATTTCAGAATAGTCAAATGTATTTCAGAAAGCGTCACATATATTTCAGAATAGTCAAATGTATTTTAGAAAGCGTCATATGTATTTCAGAAAGCGTCAAATGTATTTAGAATAGTCAGAATGCGCATTAAATATATTTATCTACACCCCCATTAATAAGCTGTGACTGACTTTATGGCGTTTTAGTCACGGGCTGAAGTTAGCAACAGTGGCTTTTGAGCATTTTAGTCACGGGCTAAAGTGGAAAGTGAGGTTAAATCCGTTGACAGTTGACAGATGTCAAATTTTTAATAAATAAAATTGGACACTCTTTTTTATTAAACACTCGCTCGCAAGCTTCGCTCGTGCCTAATAAAACTCGTAACTAAAATGGCGTTTATAAAACTTGATATTAATAAATTGTATTTTTTTTAAATTTTATTCTACTAAAAAAATAAAAAAAAAATACTGAATTTGTTTCAAACTTTTTAATTGTTTTTAGCGAGAGGTAATCCACTTTAAAATCTTAGATACCAACGTTCAATATTAGTGGACGTTGTGTTGAGTTTTTTTTCCTTATCAGTCGTTATCAATAAGGAAAACTTGCTTAATCGGTGCTTAATCGGTGCTTAATCAGGGCTTAGCGACGCGTTGCGCATGACTACCCTTATTATTGTTATCCTTAGCCGTTATTTCGTAAGCGATTTTTAATTTTAAAAAATCAGTGGTTTACCCCTCGGTTTTTAGTGTTTTATTTAAACTTGTTTACTGTTTAACATTTAGTACAATGTTACAGTGATTGATTATCACACTATGTACACAAGGAGTACAAACTTTTTATGTAGATGTAATGTCCCTTTGTACTAACAAGAATGCAGCCTGCTTCATAGTTGAGACATGCCCTACTTTTCTTTTAGCTCCCTCTTATTTTGGGAAGCCATTTGTTTACATGAAGTTCATACTTCTTGTGTAGGCTCCCTGAATAATTGTCTAGGCCGAAATCGGGTAAAGTTTTTTACCTCCTAGTCTGTAAAAACTTTATATATATCGATAGCACAAAACTATCATATCGAAAATATCGATGGTCGAATTTTTGACTATGGCACACCTCTAGCTGATACACCTCAATGTGAAACTGCCACTGTTGTGTAAATATCTTTTTTGTTTTTTTGTTCTAAGGTAAATATATATATTTACACAACAGTGACATATGGTGGCTGCGATACTTTGCAGATGTTAAAAACCTGTAATTTGGAAGTAGCCGCTACTGAAACAAACTCTACAATGGATGTGGCCGCTTTTGCAAAATATTCCAAAATTTAAACGCACTTTTTAGCGGGATCTAACCGCTTTTAAAATAATTTAAGTTAATTACGTGACAAGGCACATCTTATAATATGGTTTTCTACTGTTAGATTAATTTTGATAAAATATGGATGTAGCCACTATTGCAAGTAGACGCCTCATGTGTTAGTACTCTCGGTTTTTGACATTTTGCTCAAAATCACCTAATATGGGTAAGCCGAGTTTTGGAATGCACCTCCACATTTATAACTATGTAATATATAGTAATAATATTAATATGTATGTAGTAAAGACATTTTTTATATAATAATAATAATAATAATACTTAATAATTTTCGTTTATATAAATTTATGTTGTAGGTACCTATATTCTTTACACACTAACCATGCTATCAATTAAAAAGCTTCCAAAATATATATTTTCACTATTCTGAAATACATTTGATGCTTTCTGAAATACATTTAAAGCATTCCGAAATACATTTGATTATTCTGAAATACATTTGACACTTTCTGAAATGCATTTGACGCTTTCTAAAATACATTTTACTATTTTGAAATTCATTTGATGCCTTCTAAAATACATTTGACTATTTCGAACTACATTTAACGCATTCCGAAATACATTTGACTATTATGAAATACATTGGGCGCTTTCTGAAATATATTTGACGTTTTCTGAAATACATTTGACGCTTTCTGAAATACAATTGGAAAAGGTGTAGACTATCTAAGAAAGTAGTGTAATGATCCTATAGTGGCCTAGTTACCATAGTGGGAGCAGATAAAAAATATATACCTACCTCATACCTATAGGAAATTATAATTTCTCGACATATCTAATAATGCAATGAAGAAAGTTAAACAATTAGCAGGATACATTATAAATAAAGCGTTGAAATACCTTAGTACGGCTCTGGTTTTTACATTTTATCTATATTTAATTGTAATATATTTACTCCTTGAATGTATTATTAAAAGTGACAACAACAACACTACCTATACAAAATTTATTTATCTACATATGGTGGCTACAAAAATTTTAAAATGTGGGTCAGATGGATATTTAGTATTTGTTTTTTAAATGGTTAGTACATAAACTTAAAGAAAAGACAAATAATTAACTTTACTTTTAGCATGTTTATGCAATCCAGAAGTTAAGACAAGTTTGGGAAAAATTTTAGGACATGTAAAAACATCTTTTAATGGTAGAAAATTCGCCGCTTTTGAGGGAATACCATATGCAAAACCCCCAGTAGGTGATTTAAGATTTGAGGTAAACAAATATTGGTTTAGGCGATAAATTTAGATAGGTAACTAAAATGTTTACAGCGCATGCATGACCTTGTTCTTTATAGGAAGCACAGCCAGTTGAACCATGGAAAGGAGTATTGAATGCCAATGTCACATATACTTGTATGCAAAGAATGGGGTCTATAATTGGTATTTCTAATAAATATTACTAAATTAAAAATTCATTTTTTTTTCATTTTAAGGCCAGGAGGACTGTTTGTATGCTTATGTATACGTACCACTTAAAAAGTTGGATCCCTCCAATAAATTGAATGTAATTGTCCATATACATGGAGGCGCATTTATGTTAGGTAGCCCTAATAGTTTCATAGACCCTGATATGCTGATGGATCATGATGTTATATTTGTCTTATTTAATTACAGATTAGGGCCTTTAGGTAAACTAAAAAAAGGTAACTAAAATAATTCTTAACCTTTTAATTTTAAGGATTCTTAAGTAGTGGTGATGATGCATTACCTGAAAATGTTGGCATGAAGGACCAAGTATTGGCCTTAAAATGGATAGGAGAGCACATACAAAACTTTGGGGGCAACTCTGATAAAATTACCCTCACAGGATTGTCAGCTGGTGGGGCTAGTGTACATTTACACTATTTCTCGCCTTTATCTAGACACCTATTTCATAGGGGCGTTTCAGAGAGTGGGGTTGCCTATAACCCTTGGGTTTTACAGAATAACCCAAGGGAAAAATTTAAAAAATTAGCTGATTTGGTTGGATGTGATAACCATGATTCAAAGTTAATTGTAAATTGCTTGAAATGCAAACCTGTAGAGTCGTTTTATTCTGTTTTATCAAATTTCTATGAAAAAGATACGTTTCCGTTTTCGCCGTTTGCTCCTGTTGTTGAAACTGGTTCAAGGCCAAATAAGTTCTTAACGAAGCACCCTATTCAAAGTTACATTGACAAAGATGTTCTTGATGTACCTTGGCTATTGAGCACTACTTCGGAAGAAGGGATTTATCCTGGTTTTCGTAATATTTTATTAGGTATGGAATTATTTTTTTTAATGTGACAATTTAAGATCTCCTGGATTATTTGGACGATTTAGATGAATTATGGCCAAAATTAGCCCCATATGTCCTTGATTATAACTACACAATGCCAAAATCAGAATGGGAAATATCTGCTAATAAAATTAAAGAACATTATATTGGCAAAGGGAAACAAATTTCGAAAGACAATTTCCAAACATTTTTAAGAGTAAATTAGTACATCAGGTTTGTTTGATTAAGCAGTTCTCGGCCTATTCGCATGCGTACCTAATAGCAACAATCTATTTCTTATTAGGGTTATTGCGCATGCGAATAGTTCGAGAACGAAAATTGCTTGATCAAACAAACGTATTAAATTGTTCTTAAAAAATAGTAATAATCCTTTTTAGGCGTTAAGTGATAGACACTTTGTAAATGATGCTCAAGATGCCGCAGTACGACAAGCTAAAGTTAACAAATTCCCAGTGTATTATTTCGTTTTTAATCATAAAACTGACGCATTGATCGACTTCTTTAAAATAAAAGGCTGTGCTCATGGAACAAGTACCAAATTTTTCCATGGATCTAGAAGAGATAAATACTCTGAAAAAGATTTAAAACTTATCCCTATAATGGTGGATATGATGGTTGAATTTGCAAATACTGGGTAATAAGTATTTAAGAAATTAACATATTTTTGGTATTAAAATATATTATTTTTAGTAATCCCAAAATAAAAGGTATTTCAAATTGGGAAAAAGTACATGGCGACGTTATTACCTATATAAATATTACCGAATATGACGATATAAAACAAGAAACAAGTAATGAATTGAGCGAAAAAGAATTTTGGAATGGGTTAAACATTATGGAAAATGAAAAATTAATTGGCATTAAAGACGAATTATAATAAAAATTGTTTTTGTCAATCATTTTATTTATTTTACCAATCAATACTAATAAAAATTGTTTTTGTCAATCATTTTATTTATTTTACTAATACTAATAAAGGGTGTCCCAACAAGAACTTGAATTTTTTATGAAAAAAAAATTAAAATATTTTATTGAATTTTCAAGAAAAAATGTTGACATTAAACATGAAACAAAATATCTGTCAATGGCCACCGCGGCTCCGTTGACAGCTGTATTCATTTGACGAAATTTTGGAAGACGTTTTCGAGCAAAATCGGCTGGATTTCACAAATATTACGTTCGTTTTCGAGCAAAATCGGCTGGATTTCACGAATATTACGTTCGATTTCTTCCTTCAGTTGTCGAATCGTCTCAGGTAGGTTCAGCCGCGGTGGCCATTGACAGATATAGGTACACTCTAAGACAAAGAAAGTCTTAGGGTACACTCTACTTTTTAAATACCCCCAGAGGAAATTGTCTAAGGGCGTGAAATCGCAACTTCTTGGCGGCCAGTTTTGGTCTCCAAAATAGCAGATGACACGTGTCGTACGACCTGGAAACTTTGTTTGCAGTAACGCCCTTGTTCGCGTGCGGTGTAGCAGGTCGCGCCGTACTGTTGAAACCACAAGTTATTTATGTCCATTCCATTCACTTCCAACCAAAGAAAGTCTCTCAGCATGCTACGGTAGCGATCACCATTTACAGTCACGGACACACCTTTATTACTTTAAATAACGGCCGATGATCCCTCCTGCCCACATGACGCACCAAACTGTCACTTTTTCACGATGCATTGGAAGTTCGTGCACGACATGTGAATGCTCTTCCCCCCAAATCCGACAGTTCTGTTTATTCACAAAGCCGTTTAAATGGAAGTGCGCCTCATCACTAAAGATAATTTTGTTGTGGAATGCATCGTCAACTCCGTGTTGTTCCAATATCCAATTAGCAAAGTTTCTGCGCTGTCTATGATCGGCTGGCTTCAGCTCTTGCGTCAACTGTATTTTGTAAGGATGTAGATGCAAATCCTTTGTCAAAATTTGTTATACTGTACTGCGACTGATATTTAATTCCTGGCCGCGATGTTGGATGTTCATTAACACTGGCTCTCACGGCGGCGATTTTTTCAGCAGACCTTCCAGGACGACGACGCCTAACACTTGTCTCGTCTTTCAATGCAATGTCCGCTCAAATTTGTTGATCAAATTTTCAATAGCAGGCCGCGACGGACGATTATGTACACCGAAATGTTCACGTAACCTGCGCATTGTCACTGTAAAATTTTCTCCATTTCGGTCTTTACAATTCAACAGTGTAACGCGGCATTTTCGTTAATGTCAATGTTTTGACTAATATGGCCAGCTTGATGTTTGACTGACGGCAACACAGCAAACGGAAAATTATAGAGGTGTATAGGATGACGCCACGTTTGAATATCGATTTCTAAATCTCCCTACGGTATAGAGTGGTATTCGTCAGTCGAGCGTTTCAATACTCTCCACAGTATAGAGGTCGTAATTTCACTTTTGAACTAGTTTTAATATAAAAATTATTTTATGCTTAAAAAAAACTATATACGACATGATTGTGATTTTTTTCATTTTATTAATTAATTAAGCTGTGTTGAATATTTTTCCTAAAGGAATAATTGCCAATGGGCCATTAATTCATTTGTTCGTAGATGCTACAATTACCTGCACTGGTGTGTACTTTTTCATCAACCAGATTTAAATATTACAAAACTATACCAGTGAAGATAGTGCAGGGTCTACCAACAGACCTAATTACTAAATTATTGAAGTTTAATAGCATATCGATCATTTTTCAACATAACCTCTTAAATTTTTAATACAAATATAGGTACTTTATATAATACATAAATATACTTAACATCATATCCTCTGTGCTTTACATACCTGAGTTGTTACGGTAAATAAAAATCAGACAAAGGAACCAAAGAAAGGAACTATTTTCAACAAAATCATATGGAGAAATGAGAAAATTCATCCATCAAAAGATAAAAACTTCTTGCAATATTACACCCTCTTTTTATACTCTCAAAAATATTGACTAGAACAGTATTAGAGAGACTCCAGTTTCTATAACTTGGTAGAGTAAAGAGAAGTCGAAACCGTTGCGATATTGCATTGCGCTGTTTTTGTATAATTCTCGGGGACATTAACGAAAATCATTGCCAGTAAAATTCGAAAAGCTTGAGTTTCTATGTCTCTGAGGAGAATAGGAATCCGAAGTTGCTGCACCATTGGACTGAACCCTTTTTTAATAATTTCTAGAGACATAAATGACTGCACCATTCGACAGGGTCGAGTTTCTACTCCTCTGTTGAATATAGAAAATCAAAATAATGTATCTTGTAAGACACCATTGAGTTTGACTTTAAATATAGTCGTGCATAGGTATAGAGCCGAAAAATATAAAAACAAAGCACGATTCAATACAGTTATGATAAAACTTTAAGATTTGATATTCAAACGCGGAGTCATCCTATACACTTCTATAATTTTTCGTTTGCTGTGAATGGCGCGCGATTCTTATTGGGACACCCTTTATATTAGCCTTCACAGCAAACGAAAAATTATAGAAGTGTATAGGATGACTCCGCGTTTGAATATCAAATCTTAAAGTTTTATCATAACTGTATTGAATCGTGCTTTGTTTTTATATTTTTCGGCTCTATACCTATGCACGACTATATTTAAAGTCAAACTCAATGGTGTCTTACAAGATACATTATTTTGATTTTCTATATTCAACAGAGAGATAGAAACACGACCCTGTCGAATGGTGCAGTCATTTATGTCTCTAGAAATTATTAAAAAAGGGTTCAGTCCAATGGTGCAGCAACTTCGGATTCCTATTCTCCTCAGAGACATAGAAACTCAAGCTTTTCGAATTTTACTGGCAATGATTTTCGTTAATGTCCCCGAGAATTATACAAAAACAGCGCAATGCAATATCGCAACGGTTTCGACTTCTCTTTACTCTATAGAGTAAAGAGAAGTCGACTCCAGTTTCTATAACTTGGTACCGTAAACACGGGTGGCTTTGGCTCACTTTCAAACTTCAGCTTAAAATTGTTGTGGTTTTAACAATCATAATCATTAAATTTTGTATACCAAAATTTGAGTCTTGAGTTGCTCTTTCATAATAACTATGTTATAATCTTACATAGGGCTGAGTTTCAAAAATAAACATTAAAAACTGGGTGTGCAAAGTTACCCCCTGGTTGCGGGTTACTTTGTCTCACAGTGTTTTTTCAGTCTAAAATAAATGTAATATTATATTTTATTTTTATTAGACACGTGTTAGCAGCGACATATATCTATTGCAAGGGATTACCAATAAAGAAAATAAAAAATCGACCTGTAGTTAACCAAGGATCATCATTCCAATGGATTGCGCATAATATAGAAATTCTAACGCGTGTATTTCTAAGAGTTTTGCACTGATACGATATATACAATTTTGAAGTGTAATAAATCCCATTTCTTTCTTTAAAACACTGATTTTCCTGTAATATAAACTCAATAGAATCGCTCAATTGACAGGTTTAGACCAACAAATTATAAATGTTAATTTTATCGAGCGCGAAAAGATTTTTCATAAATGGGTTAAAGTCACCCGCGGGGTGCAAAGTCACCCGTATTTACGGTATACCAAGTTATAGAAACTGGAGTCTCTCTAATACTGTTCTAGTCAATATTTCTGAGAGTATAAAAAGAGGGTGTAATATTGCAACAAGTTTTGATCTTTTGATGGATGCAAGTAGTTTGAATTTTCTCCTTTCTGCATATGATTTTGTTGAAAATAGTTCCTTTCTTTGGTTCCTTTGTCTGATTTTTATTTACCGTAACAACTCAGGTATGTAAAGCACAGATGATATGATGTTAAGTATATATACTTAACATCATATCATCTGTGCTTTACATACCCAAATATATTTATGTATTATATAAAGTACCTATATTTGTATTACAAATTTCAGAGGTTATGTTGAAAAAATGATCGATATGCTATTAAACTTTAATAATTTAGTAATTAGGTCTGTTGGTAGACCCTGCACTATCTCTACTGGTATATGTTAGTTTTGTAATATTTAAATCTGGTTGATGAAAAAGTACACACCAGTGCAGGTTATTGTAGCATCTACGAACAAATGAATTAATGGCCCATTGGCAATTATTCCTTTAGGAAAAATATTCAACACAGCTGAATTAATTAATAAAATGAAAAAAATCACAATCATGTCGTATATAGTTTTTTTTAAGCATAAAATAATTTTTATATTAATACTAGTTCAAAAGTGAAATATACTGTGGAGAGTATTGAAACGCTCGACTGACGAATACAACTCTATACCGTAGGGAGATTTAGAAAACGATATTCAAACGTGGCGTCATCCTATACACCTCTATAGTTTTCCGTTTGCTGTGTTGTTAAATGTTAAATTTCATCTTTCGATTAACCCCAGACCAAGCAAAAAAAAGGGTCCTGAGGACTATTTAGGAGTGTAGTCGATTATCTCTTACTTCTTAAGAAGTAAGGGTGGAACTAAAAGAGCACTTTTGTATATAAACTTTTTTTTTGTATATAAACTCAAATTGTCGATGAATTTCAATCGCAAATAACTTTCTTAATTGATTTCAGATTTAAACAAATATTAAAGAATATTGTAGATAAATTAATGGAGAATTGCTCACATTTTAAAAATTACTAAAAAATAGACCTACGTTTATAATATACAAGTTTAAACAAAAATATGTTTTTTACCACAAGTTTAATATACTCCCTTGCGGCCTTGAGTTTACGGTGAATTCACCGTGAATTCACCGTTTGCGTGAATTCACCGTGAATACACCGTTTATGTGCAGTGAATATACCGTCCATTTGTGACATTTGTAGACGGTAATTAAACGGTGAACTCACGCTGTTTTTGCGATAAATTCACAGTGATTTTACGGTTAATTCACGGTGATTTCACGGTAAATTCACGGTGAACTCAAGTTTGCAAAATCACCGCAAATTCACTGTCAAAGTATACGGTATACCGTAAATTTATCGTGAAATCACCGTGAATTCACCGTAAAAGCGCTGTGAGTTTACTGTGAAAACATCGTAAATTACTGTACCACGTGGTAATGTAAATAATAAATTATTTTAATTGTTTGTAAATGGTTGTTTACTTTTTAATAAATAGTAATTTTGTTGCTAATAGACGGTATTAAAACCCGGACAACATTCGTGATATTCATACGAACATCATGTCGTGATTTTCACAAATTTTATTCCTACTGATATCATACGGAAGTCACCGCGTGATAAATGAAAATCATACGAACGTCACGTCGTAATTTTCACAAATTTTATTCATACGGACATCATCCGGATGTCACTGCGTAAGAAATTAAAATCATGTCGTGATTTTTTATGCCATCGTTGTTTGCGATTGACCGATGGCACAAAAAATCATGTCGTGATTTTTTATGCCAACGGTGTTTGGATAATCATTTTTGCGCTAAGTTCGTACACTATGAGAAAAATTATGTTGAATCAACAGTTTTTGCGGTTAAAAAAAATATTGAATGTTAAACTGTTGATTCAATTGTTAACATACTTTTTCTTTCAATGTACAAATGTGTCGCAAAAATAAATATCCAAACACCGATGGCAAAAAAAATCATGTCGTGATTTTTATGACCAAACACCGATGGCATAAAAAATCATGTCGTGATTTTTTATGCCATCGGTGTTTGGATATTTATTTTTGCGCCACATTCGTACATTGAGAAAAAAAGTATGCCTACATATATATTGAATCAACAGTTTTTGTGGTTAAATGCATTCAATATTTTTTTGGATTAAAATTATTAGTTAATTTACATCCAAGAAAATATTAAATGTATTTGACCGCAAAACCTGGTAATTTAATTGTTAACATACTTTTTTTTTCAATGTACGAATGTGGCGAAAAAATAAATATAAAACAAGTCGGTGCAACGATGGCATAAACAATCATGTCGTGATTTTTTAAGCCCAAACACCGATAGCATAAAAAATCATGTCGTGATTTTTTAGGCCATCGGTCAATCGCAAACAGTGATGGCATAAAAAATCACGACATGATTTTCATTTATCACGCAGTGACATCCGGATGATGTCCGTATGAATAAAATTTGTGAAAATCACGACGTGACGTTCGTATGATTTTCATTTATCACGCGGTGACTTTCGTATAATATCAGTA